TAGTTAAAAACATAGATATTTTATTGAAAAAACTTTTTAACAGATGGTGCCACCAAATGTTGCTGGAAAAGTTAAGCAACTCATTGCTGGCTTTTTTTTTAATTTGAAAGGGATGTGATCATCCATTTTTATCTTATTTTTATACTATCATAGATGGTATCAGTCTACATAATAATAAAGGTATCCCTTGCTTAACATGTAAAATTAACTGCAGTCCCTTTATATAAGCAGCAGAAATTTTAATTTAAGCGGCTTTACTAGCTGTCTTTAATCGAAATACGGCATCTATGTTAAGTAATGCAATTTTGATATCTGCAATAGGATCGAGGGATTAATTAACCATGTTAATCAAGGGATACCTGTACTGCATTAATGGACCTCTTCAGCATATAAAAAGTTGTGTGTGGTCAAACAAGATAGTTAAGGGTTTCTTGTATTTCTGAATATGTGAGGATAATAAACACGCAGACTTCAGAAATAAAATTACTACATTATTGATTTAATTTTAAAATACGTTTTCCTAATATTTATGACTGTACTGTACCAAAACACTAAGGATATTTTAATACAGTATGTAATTTTTAAATAATTTATATATATTTGAAACAGAAGAAAGTCAGAAATACAGTAAAAGAAAAAGAAACAATAGAAATAAATACTCATACATGGTCACTAACACAAACAAAAGTATAACTTACAATTTTTGTTTGTTAAAAGAAGTAAGTTATATAATTCAAAACTTTATATATAAAGTCAGGGTGTACCTCTTAAATGTCCTTAGTTTTAAACTGTTCTGTATAAGCCATTTGTACAGATATGTGAATAAAAGGTGTTGGAAAATGTTGGTCAATACTCCAAGTTTTATATGCATTTGCTTGAAAAGATCACTGCTGCTGCACAGTGACAATCTGGACCTTCACTGCTGCACAGTCTAAATCACTGGAACCTATTTTTTTGGTCTACCCAATCACCTGATATCATCTCTTTGTGGCATGTCAAAGACCATGTGTATGCTACAAAAGTGCCAGACAGAAGAGTCCCATGTACAAGAACTGTGGATGCCATTAACAGCATAACTCCTATGTTGGCTTGGATGTGGGCCAGAATAAAGTAAAAACCAGATATCATACTTGCTACATCAGGAGTATATATGGATATGTACTGATTTAATGTAGTAACTAACTTTTTTTAGATGCACTTTCTATTATCATTTTCTACAGTATTATACTCATATTTCTTTTCCCAAAATTGATTCACAAAACTAGGCCATTTGAGGGAACACACTGTATTTATATTCATAATAAATAAACAAATTACCTTGGAATGCAATTTCTGGAGAATACGTGATAACAGCAATGGAAATCTGGCATCATTTAAATTATTTATTAACTGAACAGCCTCAGTTAATCTGAAAAATAGAGAATATTTATTTTAAAATTATACTTGACAATTATGTACGTGATATATTTTTATTACTACAATGTGAAATATTTTAAATTACAGATTTTATCATTTTTCTCACTTGTTTAAGTGAATTTTTTGGTTTAAACTTTCCATTAAAATTTAATTAATAGATTGATCCAACTGAATATTCAATTTATGATATTACCAGAAGAATATTAAGTTATTTCTCAGTTTTGTGTTCGTTAGTTTCTAAAATTTTAAATAAAATGTTGAAATTCAAAAATTTTATTAATGTAAATAAATTTCAAGTATTTCTTGCTGAATTTCTTATGTCGCTTGCTCAATTTCTTTTCAAAAAAGAGATTCATCCAATACGAATAAATAAACTGACAACTGCTACTTAACACTGGTTATTATTAAATAAAAAAGAACACTACAAAATCCTAAGATACCTATGTATCTTAGGTTTTTGTAGTGTTCTAGAATAAATAACTGTTAAAGATGTGATAAAATTTCTTCTTCCACCACAAAAGATCCAATATCAAATCTAGTCTTAAGTTCATGATTTTTATAAGCAATTCAACCCGAGATTCTGACATCTATTTATCATTTGTGCTAGCGATCACCCAGAGATACGATCAAAAACAAGGAAGAAAAGGCTAAAGTGCAGCCCATACCTTCCAATATAAAGTCACTACAAAAGAAGAAAAACAAAGATTCAACAGCTCTCCGTAAATCAAGTTTTTGTGGTTTTTCACCTTCCAGAGAGCTAAGTTAAATCTAACATGCAACACGCCAAACCTGTTAGATTTACACTTTAGGTAGAATTACGGGATCTAGTACCATTACCATATTATTAAAGGCGATTGCCAGTTTTTTCCACAAGATAACAGTCAACAGTCAATGTTACTTCAAAATGCAACCAAACCACAAAATCTTTAAGTTATATTTTCAGATTATTCTTGTATGTATGTTCCAGATACATCAGGCATCATCCTTATCCTATTATCTCTAGATTATAATGACTATGTTAAAAGAGCCACAGAGCTCAATGTGTTGAAAGCCTAAGATTCTATCCCATCCAAAATCATTTAAATTAATAAAAGTAAATGAAATTTGTAATTATTAACATTAAATAACATGTCAGCTCCTCCCATCTCAAAGGTTCTTTCTGATAATGACGATGCAAAGGAAACTTCCTCNGTCAACTAATATGTATGAAATATTGTTTCTGATTAATAAAACTTATTTCAAATTTAATTTGCCTTTTAAATACTTACTGCTGTTTTACACTTAATATATTTTAAGTAATTAAAGAGCATTGCATTGATTGCATAAATGAAAAGAAAAAATATTCTTTCAAGTTAATATTTTACCAAAGCCTTACTTAATAATTTCTCTTTATAATTCCCAAAAAGCTTATTCCAAATGTGTTAATTATTTTAAATGGCTGATAATATTAATACTCATTTTTTCAATTTATTAAATCACTTGGTCATTTTAAGTTTCTTAATCTGGCCCCTACAGAACCAGAGTGGTGCCAGATTACTGAAAATTCTTATTACCATTTGTATATTATATATCAAATGTTTTTGCAACATTTGATATATAATATACACAATCTAAACATTTTGTAACTATGCATGCTGCTATATGCTTCTGTATTTTTACACAATGAAAATGAAGCAGTGCATGACTATACTTTGTTGAGACATTGTTTATTAACATTTCTGCAAATTTTTCAAAGTATTACAAAGTATTATAATATTGTCTGGGATCGTTAGCACACCATATGAGTATACAAATTTTGATTTGCAGAATACAGTAGGTGAACGGTTAACGAACATAATCCGTTCCAAGACTTTGTTCGCTATCCGAATTGTTCGTTAACCGATTATCGATTTACCATAGGTTTCTATGGGAATTTAATTAATTCGTTCTGGAGACCCCCAAAATAAAAATATATACATTTTTATTACGTTTATTTATATGTAATAATAAAAATACATACATACACAGTCTTTCATTTTTATTAGTCATGTTTTTTTTCCATTTGAAATGGTTAAACAATCTGTCTAATGCCGATTGCTTTTCCCCCTCTTCTTCAGGATTTTTCGTAATTAATAGCGGCATTGCAATTGTAGAAATCCCCAAGCCTCAACCTGGTTTAGATGCCATTCTAAGACCGTTGTTCTGACATTCTCCCACTTCTTCAAACGATCTTTAATAACAGATATCGGCATTAATCCTCTTTTTCAGAAGAAAACATACCTCGCTGAGATTCTTGGTGTTCTTCATTCAAGAGTTCTTAGCGTTCTTCTATCGTCAGATCCGTTTCGGGTTCCATTATGAAATCTTCGATGTTCTTTATTTCTCAGATTTGATTTTTGTTACTCCTTTAGCTGCTTGAGTCTTCTGGATTATACAGTATTTTTATTAAATAAGATTGAACTGCAGCCTATTGTAGACCTGTTAAAGCCATACTGCCCAGCAACATTAGGCATCTTCTGCCCACTCTCCACCTTTGCTATTATACTCTCACCTTTCGAAAAGAAAAACAGATGCAAAACTTAATGAGTGCCTACCCGACAGTCTCGCGAATACATAAAAGAATTATTTTGTCAGAAAAATAAAAGGCTGGAATTACAAGAGAGAGTTTCAAAGTTTGGAGGAATACTATCCGATTGGTATATACCGGCTTGAGCGTTGATGTCGACGTTGCCCACACTCCGAAAAGTTTTGAATTGTTTCCCAAAGACATGGAAATACCAATCGGTATTCATTATTTTACATCGCTTCTTCTTGTGTTTGTTCTGTGAGGTGTTCGTTATCCGAACATAAAAATCTTTCGCTAAAGTGTTCGTTATCCGATCTGTTCGTTAACTGATCACCCACTGTACTAACATGTCAGATAATCATCAAACAATTCCATAGTTGCTTTTTAGAGGGTACTTGATTACTGGACATTCTGATGAAAATCAAAATTTTCAACTGAAGAGAGCCAAACTAGTAATTTCCTAAATGCGTATTATAAAAAGAAGTATGTTATTGAATAAAATGTCTTTCTAAAAGCAATAATTATCCACAAGGTCTCAATAGTAAATGATTATAGAATAAATTTGAGATCATCCTGTAATCTCAGCCACACTATTTTAGTGTTTATATTAATTATTACAAAAAATCCAACTCTTTGTTTCAAAATAATTGCTATTGGTAGTATCACTACTATCAAAGTTTTGAAATTATGAGATTTTTTCAGATCCCCCCCTTTTTTTAAATTTAGGCCCATGACTCTTAGATTTGCCTTCTGATATTAATACAACTTTCTATCATTCATTCATATAAAAATATATTTCTAAGATTTTAAAACTTATAAAAACATTTTTGAAAATAGAAAAATACATTTGCTAGAAATATTAGCAATTAAAATCGTTTTGACATTTTTCATTCAGGAAATGAGAAGTTACTATTAAATCTTTTTACATATTCATTTTTCAAATCAGTTTCATTTAAACCTGAACTAAAATCATTTCAGTTTAATATGTTAAATTTTTAATACGTTATTTTTTTATGATTTTATTCACAAATATTTAAATTGCTCTATATTAAACATATACTTTATTATAGTTATGAAAAATTACAACAATATAAATACATTTCATGAAAATTCACACTGAAAATCATAATTTACAAAACTCATTTCTGTAAAGCATCTAATTGGTTTTGTATAATCTCCAGCTGAAAGAAAATAAAAATAAAAAATGTTAACATTCTAAATAACTTGGAAAAAGGAAAGAAAATATGGTTTACCTTATTATATAATTCATATAACTGTTGATGATTAAATTGAAATTGGATTTTGTTATTTTTGTCTTTATCTGATGATATTTCCAATTCCAAAATGCCCAGAGGTGTTTTTAGATTTGTCCGTGAAGCTTGTGCCATTTGTAAACGCAATTCCCATTTGACATCTGTAAGCTAATAGAAATAGTATTCAATTATATAATAATAGAAGATCGCAAGATTTATTTAATATGATACATTCAGTTATTAATATATTTTAATAAGCAATCAATAGTTTTATTTCAGATAAATTAGGTTTGTAAGATTATGGGTCTTATATGTGATATGTAAAAATACTGTAACAGTTTGAATCTATAGTAAAAATGTACCTGTCTAGGAGAAATTGTTCTCTGTCTTAGTTTTTCTGTTACACTTTTAGCATTGTTTACCCATGCTTGAACAATAGAAGATACCTTAAATTAGAGATTAAGAATCAAAATTATGTTTTGAAATAATTAAAATTCAAATATTGATTTTTTTTTACTTTTTCTTCTTGGAGATTTATTTCTTGCAGTTGTTGTGATAATACAGCTGGTTTTGCAAGATTATATGCAGCCTAAAAAATTAAAATTGCCGTAAAATTATACTTTTTGAAAGATTTCAAATTAGTTCTATAAGTTTACCTGTTCTAAAATGAATGAAATTGTTTCAAGAACAAGGTGTAATTGTTGCTGATCAAGAGAAAGTGCTAGCTGTAATTTTTCTTCTTCTTCTTCAGTGAAACTTTCTTCCTATATGAAAAATATAAAAGAAAATTAATTCCCTAAGACAAAACATTATCATCTCATAATTTGCCAATGGAATTAAGTTTAATCATAAAGATTTATTAATAAAATTCACATAAAAAAAAACATGAGTTATCAAAAGCATCATTTAAAAAGCATTTTAATTGTTAGACTTCCTTAATATAGAAAAACAAAATAATATTTAGATTAATCCTTTTTCATTTTGGTTTAGATATTCATAATTTATAAATTTATTTTATTTTTTCGCTCTTTCTGCTCTGTGAGCACGAAGAGATTATTTTTAATTATATGCATTATGAATTTGGCCAGGCCTACAAGAAAAGGGGTTGGTGGTGATATATCCAGAACTATCTATGTAAAATCACTGACAAGTGAGTCTCTTAACTAAGACTCTTTGGTTAAGCCAAGTTCTTTGGTATTGCAGGCTAATGCTTTCACTGGCTTGGCCATCTAGTTATCTACAATAAAAATATTGGAAAAAAGTTTGTTTGTGCAAATTTAACCAAACAATCATGTTTGTTGATAGTTAAATTTACATATACATAAACAGTTTGAACCATAAATTACAACCAATATTTGGAAAACCAAAATTTTACAATATTCGTATATATATAATTATGTAAGTTCAAATAGTACAGGGTGGGGCAGAAAGGAGACATTTTTGAAAAGGCTACAACTCACCATCAGGTGAAGTCACAGATGGGTGGCAGGTAGTGTGAAAGTAGTGAGGTCTTAGCATTATCTTTTCAATTGAAGTCATGGAACCACGGACAATAGAACTCAGTGTGTTTGCGTACAACTGAGGAAACAGTGTTCACAAAGGGGATCATTCAGTCATACACATCTGATGGGAATACATTTCTGCATCCTTGGGTACATTGGAAACATATTCCTATCAGACATGTGGATTCAACAGGGCCCTTAGTTTTGAGTTTTTTGTGCTGTACTTGAATTGATGTCATTGAACTCACTCGTGTTACTATGACTCACATAATCGGTAGTCTCGAGTTAGACCCATCAAGCGAACTTGAAAGATGAGTGGAAGTAGGTCATATTCACTTGTTTGTGTGTGTTGTTAAGCATGTCAGGATTATTTACAATGCATCTGGGTTTGCGACTATAATGATTCAACTAATCAACTTAACTGTAACAAGTTGTAAACAAATCAACATGTTATAGTTAAAAGTTTTGTCTTATAGCAATATAGTAGGCAGAAACAAAAAGAAATATTAGTAATATATATAGAAAATAATAATTTCTGAAACATTACCATTACATCGAAAGGTTTTACCAAGATAAACGCTTTATCTAAAGGTCTTGCAGCACGTATTGCAAATGTAGTTGGAACGTGAGTTACGGATGAAGAATAAGACATATAAGTTTTTCTGATATTACCACCTAAAATGCCGACGTCTGGCTAATGAATAAAATTAACCCTCCGTAAGTCGCTAGGAATGGGGCCCTTACTTGAGTCGCATGGGTCTTACAGACCCAGTGTTTTTAATATGAAATAATTCAATTTTATCTATCGCGTAAAGAAACTACAGTTTATTAGTTGGATTCTGCGCTTTGTTTTCTATCTAGTGATATAAATTACTTGCGTATTGACAAAATGAATTTTTTAATATTTATTTTTATGTAATTCGATACGAAAAACGCAAAAAAATAAACATATCAAATTTCAACTCGCTGTAATTTATCTCCTGTTTCACCGATTGCCATCGGGTTTGTTTGTAAGTGGGGAAGAAATATGACACTTTCAAGCGAAGTGAGTAGAACTTTTGCACTACTGCGAGAAAATTTGTCAACCGACCCCGCGTTACC